CAATGTTTACAAGTGAAACCATTTTTAATAATTTTGTCACATATCACAAAAAAATTAATAAAGAACATAAATCATAGTTTCAAACTAATTTATTGTCAATTTATATCTAAAAAATGTTAAACTGAAATTAAAAATGGAAAAAACAGGCAGTCCACTCATGGTGACAAACAACTTTTTATGGCAGACACCAAAAATTTTTTTTTAATCAAAATTATCACTTAATTAAACTAAGACAATCAATTTCAATGTCCAAAGTAATAGGAAAAAAATAAGTTACCTTTTAAAACTTAAATTTTACACTACTTTTACACTTCCAAATCACTTTACTCATTGAAAGAGCGACTTCTTTTTTGGTTTGTGTTCTCAAAAATGCGTTATATCAAACGGTAACGTATATGATTATTGCGGAACTTAATTTCTTACGGTTTCTAGGTGCGGTGCTGCTATTCGCACTATTTATTTCACGTTTCCGCTGTCAGATAACTTAAAAGCTCAGGCGGTCCACTCAAGGTGACATTATCCCTATGGGAAATTCCACGTGAGATTTTAGTCGACAGTGGGATTTTTTTACAATTAACTTTTTAAAACTGTCTACAGCGTAGACCCTTTAATTTAAAACAAAGAACACAAATAGATTAACATTTATACGCTGCAGACAGTTCTAAAAAGTTAATTGTAAAAATATCCCATGTGATGCTTGCAAGTGATTTTTGAAAATGTTTTAAAACTCATTTAACACATAAGGCCCATTTTAGGACTTTTGGAAACTCTCCTCTATATTATAAGGTATAAATAAATTTAAAAAAAATTTTTTTAAATCTGACTCAAAGTTAAAGACAATTAATTTGTTTATAAAAAAAATTTTTGTTTACATTTCTTAAAACTCGAAAGAAAACTAAAACTTTCATTCTTTGACAACTTTTTCCTAAACTCAATATTTTGAAAGACGATAAAATTTTGAAAAGAATAAGACCTTACAGAAGTCATTTGGCCAAAATTTGTAGAAGATATTCTTAAAAATCGTCATTTTCAATGTTTTACAAAAATTTGAATAACTTCTAAAATAATGAACGCTTTTTAATAATCTTAGGCTTATTTTAAAGACCATTTTCTACAGAATAAGAATTACTTATAGGCATTAACCTGTAATTTTTAACTTGGAATAAACATGACGTCAAAGTTGGACAAAAAAATTCAAAAAATTTGAAATAATATTATTAAAAGAAAAATAATTTTTGAAATTCAAACATATATTTTTATTAAATTTTCTTGAAAAATCTACACCATATCATGTTTTATATATGTTCTAGAATAGTTTTTAGTACAAAAAATTGATTTCAAATTTCTACAATTTTTTTGTCTAATTTTGACGTCATGCTTGTTCCAAGTTAAAAATTACAGGTTAATGCCTATAAGTAATTCTTATTCCGTAGAAAAAGACCTTTAAAATAAGCCTAAGATTATTAAAAAGCGTTCCTTATTTTAGAAGTTATTTAAATTTTTGTAAAACATTGAAAATGACGATTTTTAGGAATATCTTCTACCAATTTTGGCCAAATGACTTCTGTAAGGTCTTATTCTTTTCAAAATTTTATCGTCTTTCAAAATATAAACCAAAAAAAATTTTACTTTTCATGAATTTTATGTTAAAAAATGTTTGTCATTCCTTTGAAAATGGGTGGACTGACAATTTCGGACGGTACTGTATATGTTTTTTTCGAAAAAAGAATCAGCTACGATTTTCGGAAATGAAAATTTGGAATCTTGGGACGATTACAGATAAAACTGCGTTAGCACAATTTTGACTCATTTTAGGTAAACCTAAAAGTGCTTGAAGACCACCGTGTTTACTAGTTGACGAATTATCTCTGTAATAAAAAACTTTTATGTAATTTTTTTTGACTTACATATAATGTAATATATTTTATTAAATAATAATAAATAAAAATTAAATTAAATTAGATTTAAATTTAATTAAATTTAATTTAAAATTAAAATTAAAATTTAATTAAATTAATTTATTGCATCAGAAATTAATTAATAAATCATAATAAATTAATTACAATATTTAAAATATAAATATAAACAATAATTATTATATTAAATATATCACATTGTATAATTAAAATTGATTTACTAATGAAAAATTCAATTTTCTTAGTAGTTTTTTTCCGAATATTAATTCAAAAAAATTGTTTAACACATTGTAAACGTATAATCCACAAGTTTTGAACTTTTAAATGATCGTTTTATTTATAGAATAGAATAACTTTTGTAGTCTTAATACAATAAGTAGTGAAAAGCTGCATTTTGGACATTTCAGAAATAGCGGTCCTAAGTTGGCCACCACTTTTTTTCGCTTGTGTTTAAGGAAGAAATGCATATTCTTTTCAATTACGCAGAAATTTTACAAATTTGATACATTTAGGAGAATAAAAACGCATTATTTAACTATTTTTGTTTAGAAAATGAAGCATTATTTTATTTCATTTATTTGCAGTGGTGGATGGCTGTAGAGACAGGCGTTTTTGTACTATGTCTTTTCTAATGTTTTTTTAAACCATTTTTTTTGTTTTTTGTCTTTGTATCATTCCTACGTTACACTTTTACGGTCTTTCTCGTGATGAAAAACACAAAAAAGAAATAAAACATAAATAAAAACAAACAAAAACAATAGGTGGCCAACTTAGGACCACTGTAGATTTTTACAAGTTTCAAATTATTACGCTAATAAAAAAATTTAATTAAAAAATCAACAGAACCTCTTATTACAACATTAAATAAAGGAACTAGTGCACACACTCATTTAGAAATGGTTAATTATTTATCTCTTGTAGCTGCTTTCGAAAAAACAAGAAAAATTAAATTTTTTTGGTCGTAAACAATATTATTGTCCTCACAATGCGTGGAAGAATCTTAGATTATAATTAGGTCCATAAATTATAACATGGTTTATCAATATATCATACCACAAAATTATAGATTCGTCCAGTATACCATCTCTGAGAAATGCAGGGTGGCCAACTTAGGCCCACGGCCAACTTAGGACCACGCTCCCCTAATAATGTTCTCTGACTAATTTAATTATTTTTAATTCAATTTCTAAATTTTTTTATTTAATTGATAGTTTTTTAATAAAACTTTTTAGAAATATAAGAATTAAAAAAAAATTAAATTATAATTTCTTAGAAATCTATAGTTTTTCAAAATTTGAAAAAAATTATTTAAGAGTTTAACCACTTGAGCGGCAGTGCGTCAGAATTGGCGTCAGCGTGCAAGTGACAGAAGCGGCAAAAATGCGTAAAAGGCGTCAAAATTTGACTACTATTTTCTCATTCTGTAAGGAGATTTATAATATCACAACAAAGTATTTTTCTTTTTTAAAGTAAATGAGCAGATCTTTAAACAAAAAAATGCTTTTTTAAATATTTCGATTTCGTGAAGAAAAATTGGACTTTTTGTGGTAGAAATTGAAACGCCACTAATATCAAACTATTAAATATTGTTAGCTTTGATCCTTGAAAACTTATTTAAATATTTTAAAAAACATTTTTTTTTGCTTACAGGTCTGTTCTTTCACTTTAAGAAAGAAAAATACTTTGTTGTGATATTATAAATCTCCTTACAGAATGAGAAAATAGTAGTCAAATTTTGACGCCTTTTTCGCATTTTTGCCGCTTCTGTCACTTGCACGCTGACGCCAATTCTGACGCCCTGCCGCTCAAGTGGTTAATATTTTTTTAAAATAAATATTCAATTGTAAAGTTTTTTAGGTCAAAGACAGAAAAAATGTTAAGTTTTTTTGAATTAAAGTTTGATGAAAACCCTTAATTTTTCTCTAATTTTCTATAAATCAATTTCACTTTCATTATATTTCACGTCAGTGAATTCACAGCGTTTATGATCAACGATTAAAAGTAAAAATTAATATTCTTCTTGACAAAAACAATACAATTTTTTTGTTTAAAAATATTTCTTCGAAAATTGTCGATCAAAAACTGTGTGAAATATTTTTGCATATCACATTGAAATTACATAGGTTAATGAAATTAAATTTTTCTATTTATCGTTATATAATTATAAAGGTTAGATTACTTACCCTTTCCGTAAAGCATATACAGAATACGACCACCAGTTTTCAAGGACTAATATCAGTTAGTTTTGTTTATAACTAATATTTTATTACTAATAATAAAATATGAAATTTATATATCACATAAAATTCACAATAATATCGAGCACTCAATAAATTTCAAAAACGAAATGTCCAGACATAAACGAAGATAACAATACAATAAGGCACCATGAGGTAGATAACGATATAAATATACAGAAAATTAATAAATGTGAAGCAAGATTTCTGTCGATAAATGAACTCAGTAACACTTCCTAGCAATTAGCTTTTAAATTATTTTATCTTATTCTATGGAAAACCAATTTTTATTGCAGATTTAAACAAATTTTTAAAATATTTTTTTAAGACAAAAAAAAAGTCGAAAAAGTCGCATTTTTTAGAAAAAGTCGAAAAAAGTCGTATTTTTCAAGATATCCGAGGCCTGATTTTACATTATTTTATTAATTTTTTCTACAGACGTCACCCACAATATTTACGCAAATATTCACGATTCTTGGAACCTCAAAAAAACTTAATCTGAATCCCGGAAAATATCTTTTTTTTAAATATCTTTATCTTCGGGAAAATATGTCATTCGGGAACCAGGGCATTCGGGAATTTTGCTGTTCGGGAAACTGTTTTCAGGAAAATGGGCGGGTACGATTTTTTACCGCATAAAAGCTCGCTTATTTAAAATAAATTTGTCATATTGTAACTAACCTCTTGTCACATGAAATAACTGTATAAATAATGAGAAGTATTAATTTTTGTCGTAGAAAAGAGAAGAAGATTCACATTTGTCTTGATAAAGTTAACTTTTTAACTTTTGTTTGTGAAAACATTGCGGAAATCAGTCTCATAAAAAATATTTGTTCAGCATATGTACCTATCATAACTGCAAGAAGCTAAAATGTTTCCGAACTTTGGATGTGCCCAAGCCACTTGCCAGACGGGACCAACGTGTCCTTTCAAATCTGCAGCTAAACTTTGAGAACCATTTTTAAGGTCAAATATTTTTACAGAATTATCACTCGAGCAAGTCGCAAGTCGAAGTCCGTAATAATCCATTTCAGCATCGTGAATCATGTCTTCATGGCCGGTATCAACAGTATTTAAAATTGACACCATTTTGCTAACTAAATGTTAAAATATATATTTTATCAGCAACAAAACTAAAAAGCAGTGTGTACAAAGAGGTTACATGTAAATATGGACAGTCCTTATCAATACAGAGTTTATTCGAAAGCCAGTGTAATAAAATGTAAACTCAGAAATTTATGCTATATAATTCATTTTTTTTATTTATTTGTTTATACATCCGTCTTAACCTTATCTAGCTATACAAGTGTTTACATTTACCCCAGATCAAGACACTTATTTTTTTGTGTGGCTGTGTTATTGTTAGAAATAGAAAGAATTTAAAATTAAATGGAATATTTTTTTTAATTCAGTTACGTTGGACTCTGACCTTCGGCAACCCTGAATATGTATTTTTAATGTTTTTACCAAATAAAACGATTTTATACAAGATCATTCAATCTTTTTTAATGAAATATACCTAATAAATAAGTTTTAAAATAAAGTCTATTTTTTCTCACAAAATAATCAGCGACTTGTAGAGGTTTCTCACTTATCCAGTTTCCCACTTACAGAGGTCTAAGGGCGATTTCTCTCGCTTAAAAAAGTTTATGAATTAATATTGTTTTTTCAAATTAAATTAATTAATTAATATACAACGAATAAGTGTTACAATGTATGAGTTGAACTGAAATATTTTATTTATTTCATTTTAAAAAAGTCTGTCATTTTTGTTTTAAGATTTTAGACTTCCTTATTCTCAAGCACATAAATTTGATAAGTCTTATCAACATTAGCCGAAAATTCATTAGTAACAATAGTTTAATAAAATTTTGAAATATACCGTCTTATAGAAGTCCTAGGGTGGTTTTTCTCACTTATAGAGGTCCGGACGAGAAAAATGACTCTCGCTTACAGAACATCGCTTATAGAGGTTTTTACATGTAAAAATGACGAGACCTGATAATAACTCTCGCTTATAAAGGTTTCTTGCTTATCCAGTTCTCTCTTATCCAGGTTCGACTATATATATATATATATATATATATATATATATATATATATATATATATATATATATATATATATATATATATGTTAGGCTCAAAAGCCGAAAACGGCCAATGGCCGGAAAAAACAGCCAAACCTAGTTTTGCCAAAACTAGGTTTGGACGTTTCACTTCGGCCATTGGCCGTTTTAAATTGACAAAACTAGTTTTGGCAAATCGACATTTGCCAAAACTAGTTTTGGCAATTTAAATTTGTCCAAAACTAGTTTTGTCAATTTAAATTTTGCCAAAACTAGTTTTGTCAATTTGTCATTTGCCAAAACTGTTTTTGTCAATTTGACATTTGGCAAAACTAGGTGAGGCATTTCAAATTGTGAGAAATTGAAAGAAAGAAAGAATAGAAAAAGAAAGACCGCCGTATTAATAGGAAATTTGTTTAGAATTAGCATGTACTTATTGTTGCTATTTTGAAAACTTAGATTATTTTTTCTATGTTTGGGGAGTTTGTTATTAATTTATATAAACAATTATTAAAAAATGTTTGTCATTACTTGTATGTTTTTTATTTTGATACTGTAATCCACGGTAAAGAAAATAAGCCTAACTTGATAAAAAAATATTAATATTAAAAAAAGTTACAAGGGTTTTTCTAAGTTAAACTTTAACTGCTGTTTTCTCGAAAACTTGTTTTCGCACGTAAGGTCCCTTTTCATAGACCAGGTCACATATTGTTTCTGTATTGAATAATTGTGTGTATGAAATAAGAAATCGTCAACAAGGTAAATTAGCCTGTGTAAAGATAAATTAGTCTGTGTAAAAATAAATAAGTGTTAAAAAAGTTTTTTTAATTAACTTTTATGTGCAAAATATCAATAGATTTTTGTAAGAGAAATTTCATCTTATTGTAAATAGTATTAATCAATGACACATTTTTAAATAAATATATTCCTATTGTATAACGAAGCGGTCTTTCTCACAATTTGAAATGCCTCACCTAGTTTTGTCAAATGTCAAATTGACAAAACTAGTTTTGGCAAAAGTCAAATTGCCAAAACTAGTTTTGTCAATTTAAAACGGCCAATGGCCGAAGTGAAACGTCCAAACCTAGTTTTGGCAAAATTGCACTTGCCAAAACTAGGTTTGGCTGTTTTTTCCGGCCATTGGCCGTTTTCGGCTTTTGAGCCTAACATATATATATATATTATGATTTCAGATTCGTAATGAGATACCCTAAAAACCTCTGAGTAACAAGTTTTAATTTGAAAATTTGCCCACCATATTGAATCCGCCATTTTTAATTTTTAAAAAGTGACTTCATATTCGTAATCTGTGGCCCCAAAAGCCCCCGAGTAACATGTTTTAAGAGAATATATATATATATATATATATATATATATATATATATATATATATATATATATATATTCCACGTCAACACGGACAGAGTTCCAAACAAAAATTGCTTTGATAGATTTAAACGTTCTAGGGCTTAAAAGATTTGTACATTCATGAACTTTAAGATGCCGATGGGCGTTTTTTTGAAAATTTCCATTTCCGATGCGAATAGAGCTGTCAAAAGTCCAAAAATCTCAAAATTCTTTTATGAATTAAAAGCAAAAAACGAGGTAAAATATTCTGAAACTCATTCTTTAACAGTTTTTAGGGTCCCCGATTATAAATTCAAGTTTGATCAGATTCGATTAAAACTTATTACTCGGAGGTTTTTAGGGTCGTAGATTACGAATCTGAAGTTACTTTTAAAAATTCAAAATGGCGGATCCAATATGGCGGAAAAAATTTCAAATTTTATACGATTCTCTTAAAACATGTTACTCGGGGGCTTTTGGGGCCACAGATTACGAATATGAAGTCACTTTTTAAAAATTAAAAATGGCGGATTCAATATGGTGGGCAAATTTTCAAATTAAAACTTGTTACTCAGAGGTTTTTAGGGTATCTCATTACGAATCTGAAATCATAATTTAAAAATTGAAAAAAGCGGATCCTATATGACTCAATAAATGTTTAAATTTGATCCAATTCGCTTAAAACTTGTAATAATAATAATAAATTGTTTGCATTATAGAACAGTATAAAGCTAGAATTTCTGAAAAGTGACTTAAGATTCTTTATCAGATACCCTAAAAACCCCCAAGTAACAAGTTTTAATTAAATCTGATCAAATTTGAAAATTTGTCCACCATATTGGATCCGCCATTCTTAATTTCTGAAAAGTGACTTCATATTCGTAATCTGTGGCCCCAAAATCCCCCAAGTAACACGTTTTAAGGGAATCGGATCAAATTTGAAATTTTTTCCGTTATATTGGATCCGACATTTAAAATTTTTAAAAAGTAACTTCAGATTCAGCGTAATCAGCGATCCTAAAAACCCCCGAGTAACAAGTTTTAATCGAATCTGATCAGATTTGAATTTTATCCGCCATATTGGATCTACCATTTTGGATTTTTTAAAAAAAACTTTAGATTTATAATCGTGGACCCTATAAAAACTGTTAAAGAATGAGTTACAGAATAATTTACCTCGTTTTGTGCTTTTAATTCATTAAAGTATTTTTAGATTTTTGGACTTTTGACAGCTCTATTGGCATTGGAAATGGAAATTTTCAAAAAACGCCCATCGGCATTTTAAAGTACATGAATGTACAAATCTTTTAAGCCCTAGTTTCTGATTCCACTTGAACCTCTATAAGCGAGAAAATCTGCTCTCGGACCTCTATAATCGAGAGTCTTGACGGTATATTTCAAAATTTTATTAAACTATTGTGACTAATGAATTTTCAGCTAATGTAGATAAGTCTGTTGAGGTAACAAAAAATTTTGTAACAACAACAAACGAAATTTGTTAGTTCTATGTTAACAATTTTTTTTTCTCTGTGAAGGAAGTCTAAAATCTTAAAATAAAAATGAGAGACTTTTTTAAAAAAAAAGGAAAATCCGTCGTTTAGCTTAATGTCTATAGGCATGGTTGCCACACAACCTAAAAAACATGAAAATAGCATGGAATTTGAACAAATTTCTGGAATTTTTTTTGGTTAATGAAAGATATTAAGAAAAATTCCATTCAACATGTTATTTTTCTTTAAAGTACTACTACACTTTAGAATTTAAAAAAATTTTATTTTTTTTTTATTGTATTTTTTAACTCCTTATGACTTCAGAAAACACCTCCTAAAGTATTTATAACCACTTGTAAAAAATAAAAGTAAATTTTTCAAAAAATATTCAATTAATGTAAAAAGTCATTGACAAATTAAGTAAGTCTTTAAGGGGATGGTGGGGTCCAGCTTTTTGTTACGACCAATAGAAACATTGGTGCTAATGTATGTAACAGTGTCTGAAATAAAAAAGTGGTGGGGTTTCAATTTGCGAAAGAATTTTAGGTAATTTATGGATGGCCTCTAACGATACATATAAGTTTAAACGGGTTTTTCTCAAAATAACGTTTTCTCAAATTGCGGACAGTTTATCTCTGAATCTACTGAACCGATTTTAATAAATGATAACTCGTTTTGTTTGTTAGCATGTCCTGTGTGACAATTTACCAGAAAATGGTCAAAAAATTTTAAAAAAACATTTTTGCAGACTAGAAAAATACTGAAAAACATAGTGTATTTTTAAACAAATTATTGAAACACCTGCTATTTTTTTATTTTAGTCGATTTTTCATTATTGGTGGTAGATTTCTATGCAAGACACCTTCCTTTTTAAAAAGCAATTTGGATTTTTTGTTTCCGATTTGTCAATCTTGAGATAAACTGTCCGCAATTGGACAACTAACTTTTTGGAGTTTCGATCTGAATGCTGTCTGCAGATTATGATATTAAATAAAAATTAAAAACAAACCATTATTTTTATTTTCCAAATATGTACTAATATAGGCAAAAAAGTTTTTTAAATATTTATAATAAAATACCTAAGAATTTTTTTTTTAAATTTGGTCTTTTAAGAGCCTTCTAAAGTGTAGTAGTACCTTAAAAATGTTAACATACAATTTTCCTTTTCCATGTTATCTTCTCTTTAAATTAATTTAATTTTTCTTTTTAATTATATAGACTAAAACTG